TTTTAATTATTATTTATTTTTTTGTTAAAACTATCAACTAATTTTTTCGTAAAAAAATTATTAGTAAATATTTAATTTTTTTTATAAAAATTCTATATATATATAGATATTCAAAGGTAAATTTTTTAGTCAGAATAAAATAATAATTTGTTCTGAATTTGTTGTTAATCCATCGGTAATAACAACATAAGTAGTTTGTAGCTAAAATTCCGTCTCTATTTCTGCCCTTTCTAGTAGCATAGGCAGGGTTTCCAAAGTCGACATCTTTTATAGACTTTTCTTTGTTTTCCCCTTTCTTGTTTGTTGGGTAATTAGCATAAAATGTTTTTATATTTCAATGTTATTGTGCAAACGTCCTCACCTTTCATTTTTTGGCACTTTTACCCATATCTTCACATTTTATTGCGAAAATCATCATTTTCATCAAATTTCTCGTATAAAATGAAAAATATACCCTTATTTAAATAAAACAATAAAAAAGGAAAAAAAGTTAAAGAATAAATTAAAATCATACTTCCAAACTTTTTAAAAAAGTGCAAATGAGTCCAAATTATTAAAAGGGTCATTAGCACAAAATATTCCTACCTTTTTTATTATTGTGCAAAACGTCTTTACCTTTAATTTTTTGACATTTTCACCATTATTTCATATTTCGTTGCGAAAATCATTATTTTCATCAATTTTCTTAATTAAAAGCCGTAAAACAACAAATATATGCTCATCTTTAAATAAACAAAAAGAAAAATAAAGACCAAATTGCAACTACATTTCCAAATTTTTTTTTAAAAAAAAGTAAAAAATAAATTCCAAATAAATAATTAAAAAAGAAAGTGATTTTAATAATTTTTTGAAATTCATTTGTACTTTTTTTTTTTTTTGAAAAATTTGAGAGTATAGTTGAAATATGATCTTTATTTCTATTTTCTTTATTTTTGTTTATTTAAAGAGGAGGGTATATTTGTCTTTTTACAACTTTTAATTGAAAAAATTGATGAAAATAATGATTTTGCAATAAAATATAAAAATAAGGACGAAAATGTCAAAAATAAAAAGTATGGACATTTTGTATAAGAATAATGAAAGATAGGAATGTTGTGTGCTAATTACCCTTTTGTTAATTTATTTGGACTCATTTGCACTTTTTTAAAAAGTTTAGGAATATGATTGCTATTTATTCTTTAAATTTTCTTTTCTTTTTTATTGTTGTATTTAAATATGGAGTGTATTTGTCACTTTACACAAGAATTTTGAAGAAAATGATGATTTCTGCAATAAAAGGTGGATGTAAGAGTATAAGTGTCAAAAAACGAAAGGTAGAAATGTATTGCACAATAACAATGAAAGGTAAGGACGTTTGTGCTAATTACTCTTATTTGTTTGTTTGTTTTGATTTGATTTGATTTTTATTTTTATTTGTTTTCATTTTTTTGACATTTGACTCGAACTTTTTAATTAGGTACATTTTGACCCTATTTTGAACTCAAGAGGCATAGTATAAACTAATTAGAAACGTGAGCGACGCACGTAATTTTATAACAATATCTTGAATTTTTTTTTTTCGGTACAATTATTAAATAATAATAATTTAAGCGATACTTCGAAATGTCAATATCATTCAAATAAATATACATACAAAATGATGTTGTGATACAATATTTTCACGTAACCTATTAAAAAACGGAAACTGAATTATTAAAGTTTGCAATAAACTAAGACTATTTTTCGTACTCATATTTTGGTGCTCTACAGAAAGTGCAAAAATATATTTTTTGAGTTCGTGTTTTGAAGAAGAGAACTACCATAGATAGAATAAGTTTTGGCAAATGACTGAAACTAGAATAGAATATATGTAAAAAATAAATTAGATAAAATTTAATAAGTAAATTCAATAGTTTGCTTTGAACTCTATTTATAAAAATTAAAAAAAAAAAACACACGCACACACACATTCAAGTTCAATAGAACAACGTTATCTTCAATGTTCGAATAAATTACGTTAGTATAACTCACCAAATTAAACCACTCAAGCATTTGAATTTTGATTTGTGTAATGTTATGCTACTGATGAAAAAAACACATCGATAATCGGTGTGAAGTTGAAAGGTTGTGAGATTTTCATTTTTATCATTTGCCTGACTTTTCATAATATTTTGTATATTTGAAAATCAAAGCATCCTTATCACACGCATCATTTATTAAAAAAAAATAAAAAAAAATTTAATGTAATCTATACACATGATAATAACAAAATTCATGGCCAAATCATCTATTATAGGTACAAAATAAAATATCGACTATTGTGTGGTGCAATAACATTAAACTAAAAGACAATTTGTGCATTATGTACATGAAGAAGCAAAAATTCAAGTCAGCTACATTCATACAATCGATTTCCCACTTTGGTCTATAGAGTGCTTTCTAACTAGCTTTCATATGTTTCTTGTTGCGGGTTCGAGATACTTTACACGCTCTTCCTCGTTTAAGACCCATATCCAAAGTCCCTTCTCCATCTATGTATCAATTGCTTAGTTGAAGGCTTACATGAACTTAGACTCTTCGTGAGAAAGGTCATGGTTCAATCCCCCTATACACGACCCTAAAGTTACACTGGCTCGGATATGGCCTATGGGGTGATCTATTTTAATCGAGGCACCACTCCTTTGAAATCCGAGTGAGTAAAGACGAAGAGAAGAGTTAGTCAACAATCAAAAAAATAAATACCAAGTACTAACTAGGATATTTAGTATTCTACTTTTTGCTATTCATCTACTATTAAAACATAATATTGCTAATCATTATAGCTAAGAACATGATTTACCCTATTCATGTACTTAAAGAGAGATGAAATATGTTGTTATCGAACCATCGATTCCAAAAGTTATAATAGACTCAAGCATTTGAATTTTGATTTGTGTAATGTTATGCTACTGATGAAAAAAACACATCGATAATCGGTGTGAAGTTGAAAGGTTGTGAGATTTTCATTTTTATCATTTGCCTGACTTTTCATAATATTTTGTATATTTGAAAATCAAAGCATCCTTATCACACGCATCATTTATTAAAAAAAAATAAAAAAAAATTTAATGTAATCTATACACATGATAATAACAAAATTCATGGCCAAATCATCTATTATAGGTACAAAATAAAATATCGACTATTGTGTGGTGCAATAACATTAAACTAAAAGACAATTTGTGCATTATGTACATGAAGAAGCAAAAATTCAAGTCAGCTACATTCATACAATCGATTTCCCACTTTGGTCTATAGAGTGCTTTCTAACTAGCTTTCATATGTTTCTTGTTGCGGGTTCGAGATACTTTACACGCTCTTCCTCGTTTAAGACCCATATCCAAAGTCCCTTCTCCATCTATGTATCAATTGCTTAGTTGAAGGCTTACATGAACTTAGACTCTTCGTGAGAAAGGTCATGGTTCAATCCCCCTATACACGACCCTAAAGTTACACTGGCTCGGATATGGCCTATGGGGTGATCTATTTTAATCGAGGCACCACTCCTTTGAAATCCGAGTGAGTAAAGACGAAGAGAAGAGTTAGTCAACAATCAAAAAAATAAATACCAAGTACTAACTAGGATATTTAGTATTCTACTTTTTGCTATTCATCTACTATTAAAACATAATATTGCTAATCATTATAGCTAAGAACATGATTTACCCTATTCATGTATATAAGGAGAGATGAAATACGTTGTTATCGAACCATCGATTCCAAAAGTTATAATAAAATAGTCCATTTCACCTTGATCAATCTTCAATAACTTTTCATATTTGACGACACTATATAAGCATCTTTTATTTATTGAATTCCTTTCATTTGATATAGGTTCTCCCCCAGTCCCAGATAAAGGTTCTAAACTAGCTTAAACTCCATGCAACTTATACAACAATATTTAAATTTCAAGAAAGATTTATAGGACAAAATCTATTGAGAAAAACAGAAAAATACTACCAAGATATATAAATGCATGCACACCATATATAATAATCCCAAAAATTTCCAAAATAGTGGTGGAGCTTTTGCTACTTGAAATAGGAAATATATGCACATCATGACATTTTGCCTTTATGGTGAATTTTAGTGCTTTCATCTATGTTAATATGGGTAGTCTCAAATAAAGTAATGTTGGCATAAGTGTAACATATTCGGTGCACTGGTCAAACGAAAACCATAGATTTCTACCTATTCTATATCGACCCCTTCACATATTTGTAGAAAAAAAATAAGCAATTTATAATTAACAAAAAAATTGTTAATCATAGATCAAAAACAATACATGAATCTTAAATTCCTTTTGGACAAAGAAACAGTCGTTGGATACAACAAACAATACACGGCAGAAAGTTTTAGTCCAACGGTGCACTCTTCCTTCACAATTTTCTTTTGTCAATTAGTGTAGGGTATTATTGGAAAATCATTTTTAGTTGACCATTATAGACACACAATTTAAAAGTTAGATGATTTATATACTAATACTCATATTATGCCCTTGTTTGAGCCACGTTATTGAAATGAAAATACATTTTTTGAATAGTATATTGAAGGGAAATGTGTGATTAAGAAAATAAGAAAAAGTTTTGAATTTGCTTATAATATTATTTTATTGAAGAATGTGTGATTGAGATGATGTCAAATCACTGTTGAAAAATATATTTTTTTGAAAAAATGTGGCTCAAACAAGGTCTAAAATGCAAATGTCAATTGATATTTTATGATGTATGTCTAGTATAATTTAAATGTTGTATTATTTGCCCATAAAACCAGTACTTGAGCTAGAATTAAAGGGCCTTCGAAAATCTGCCATTGAATACAGGGAATGAGATTTCGATGTCGTGCACACCGTTATCTTAATCATCATCCAACATTCTGTCTATAAAAAAAAAAAAAAAAAAAAAAAAAAAAAAAAAAAAAAAAAAAAAAAAAATCTATTTGTACAATCAAATTGTACAATTACTTTGACAATGTGTAGAGTATAAAAATCTTAACCATTGAATTCAAAAATAATTTTTCAAATCAATGGATATGATGCCCATCAACTCACACATTGTCAAATTTGTTGTTAAATTCATTGTACAAGTAGCATGATTGCTATAAAAAATATCTTACATGCTTCACTGAATTAGAGGACTCTCTATCCAGTCAGAAAATGAATTTCTTACTGTTTTTTTACTGAATTGTGTGGTATATAATTCATGGATTGTCTCATATCTCTCAAATAGGTGATTGGAAGGAGGAGCTCAAGAGTTCATATTTAAACCTGTCAAGCAATCAGATACGAACAACTTGAGAAGCCATCCAGAAAACTATGCATATGGATAGCATTATTTTGTATTGAATACAGCAGAGATTCCTGAGTGAACATGCTGGAAAATTAGCAGAGAAATGCTACAGAAAAAAAGAGTGAAAACCAAGCCAGAAATCTTTTGAAACTTACATGTTCATCCTTCTTTTTGTTCTCGTGTATCATTACGCTAATAAGCATTTATGCTTGCTAGACGGTCTACAAGACCAGAACTTCTAAAAAAACTCAGTAAGCACATAAGCATTTAACCATCCAAAAAATTTGAAGGGGAAAAAAATCCCATCCATCTGTATATCAGGAAGTTTTATACCTTCTTCTGAGCATTTTGTGCAGATGCTTCGGTGCAAGGATGGAAGTTGAAGCACACGGCTAACGAGCAACATCACAGCAAGATGAGCCACCGCTGTTACTTTTCCCAGTGATTTCTATCCTTGTTTCTTTATGCCCACAATCTTCTTCTAACTCCAGAATTGTAAAAACAATCAGCAGAAGCACCATTCATTAACAAACAACTTGCATCATTACCCTTAAAAGGTCATGCAGCTAAAGTACGTCTGAAAAAAGTACAAGGCTATCTACCTCGAGATTCAGTTTTCCATGGAAGTAAAATGCGAGTATCACCCTGACACCTGATACGAATGAAACCCTCGTGAGTGCAGGTACAATGTTGTTTCTTTCCATAATAAAAGAGAATGAATTGGAGATAGAAAATAAAATAAATTGTTGACTACCCACAGCTGAATGCCTCCAGAAGTACACGGTATCTCTACAAATGATGATGTGTCTTTTGCAAGATCGGTAGAGTCTGTTTCCTTCATACTCTCTTTCATTTCAGGGGTTCTATTTGGAGATATTGATGGACTTCCCATTTTCGAGGACAAGCCCTTACTGCCATCAGAAACATCCATCTGTAGCTCAATGTTGTCCTCGACAATAGATGGGTTATCAACGCTCTTTTCTCCATCTCTGCTCAAGCTCTCCTTCTCTAATCCTAGATAGCTCTGTGAACACAATGAATCCAGAACTGTATTTCCTTTGGAGTCTTTAGATAAATTTGGTACAGTTGATACAAACTCAATGTTTTGGGAAATTGGGGACGGGGTCTCATGTGAGTATACATGACTACAAGGATGACGGAAGTACATTTCTTCTGATATGGGTGAATGTTCACCAGGCAAGTCAGGAGATCTCTTAAATGGTGTATTACAGTCGATAATTAATTGGGAATCTGTTACGTCAAAGACATCTTTGCTCCAAGCACTGGGACCTGAGGCTGAAAGTTTTCTCATCCCAGAAGTTTGACAGAAGGAATTGCTCTCAAAAGTGGCAGTTTGGAAGCAAGCTGGTGTTAGACTTGCTTCTGGCATCCTTGTAAGCTTTCCTAGTCGGTTTACACTCTCTCTTTGCTGGAGATGGCTTCTATTACCACGATTTATTTTCTTGCCATCTATATTCTTCTCATAACATTTGTTCTCCTGGAACCAACCATGTATGCCATGGACCTGTGTTCCCTCTTTTCTCGTTGGTGGTCTATTGCTTTCATTACCCCTCACTGAAAGTCAAGACAGAGATTTACATTGAAATGTTCATGTGAAACCAATATGTCAATCAACATATACAGGAACCATTGAAAGTAACCTGCACTGGAGGAGCATGATTCTTCACTGTCAAGAAGTTAATAAAGGAATCAAAAGAAATCAAATCAGTAAGCATGACACGTAAAAAAGGGAATTGTGAGATGATGCACAAGGTGGCCAAGAATGTGAAACCTCAAACTCAAATTCTCTCTTTCGTGTTCCCTTATAAAGCACGACCATGATGGTTGGTTGCTAGCATCTTTAACATTATGATCTATCCCTATGGTAAACCTGCCATCATACGAGAAAAACTCCTAAGTAGAAATGAAAATAACCTAAAAGGCTCTCGGCTAAATTGCATACCATCTTGCATCTGAAATTTCAAAATCACGTAGATACTCTGACATCTGATGCTTGGTAGAAGGGGAATGTGGATCTGATCATCAAAGAAGGAAAAAAGAAAATATTATAAGCATCAAGCGAATAGTAGCTAAGTTGCAACAGTTTTAATTCAGGATCCAGTACTTTCCTTGAGAATAAGCTGACACTAGGGATAAATGACATACTAGTTTATACCTCAGTAAAAAAAATGAAAAACTGGACATGAAGGGAGAAGTACAGAATCTAGAAGCAAATAATGTCAAGGAGGTTTAAAATGGTAAACAAGAAAATACAAGCGCCAAAAACACGAAGGTTTTTGTGAAGGACTAGGAATTGCTACATAGTTCACTTTTAATCACTACAGGAATGGGAAAATTGAAAGGTTAAAACGAAAATATAAGAATATTTTTCTAACTACAATCATGAAAGGCCTTTTTATTTTCCCGTCAAAGACCAGAAAAAGCGAAGAAACTTATAATTTCTTCAGATTGCAATATTTTTCCTTGCTCAACCCGTCTGCTAATTGATAATTGAACTTGAGACAGAAGTAAGGAAATACATCAAATCAATAGAGATTATTGATTTCTCAGCATTCAATCTCTTAATTGCCTTGTGAACATGAAAGTGAATTAACTAAATGGCATAAAGCTTCAGATCTATTTGGGTTTCTTTATTAGAAAATATCTATACTATTCTACAGAGAAATCACAAAGCAAGAATGCGAACAACAGTGAGCAGACCTGCTCAGACTGGAAGGTGGGTGTAAAATGACAAAGATTTTGCAAAAGTAAGAAGCACCTCTGATATCAATGTTTTCTGTTCTGTGCTTGCTGGCCCTGTAAAGTCAATAAATCATTAAAAAGGCCAACTAACTGAATTCTTAACAGGACATGAAAAATTAATCTCTCAAAAACCTTCGCTCTTGTAAAGAAGAGCCTTCAAAGTTGAAGTCTCGCCCCCAATGGTCGTTATTATTCGAATAATCAGCATAATCATCATCTCTTAGATCTACCTGATTCTTGCAGAATAATCTATATTCTTCCACTTTGTCAATATGGTTATCTAGGAAGATAGAACCTGCTGAACAGCCAAAAATAACAGTTCCACCGTCATGCTACTTAGTAACATGAAACCTCAGACAAGTAGAAATTTACACCTATAATAGACCGAAAATTACCTATACAGTTCATCATGCATTGAAAAGAACATAAATTAATACGATTCAAAATCATAACCTGCAGTTCTGAATTCTAGTTGTCGCAACATGTTAAGAACATTCCAAAGAAAAAATAGATGGCAAATCAGAACCTTGATTCATCAAAGTTCCAATTCAATTAAAAAAAATTTGAACATGCTAACTAAACCATCAAATGTCTGGTTACAACAGAGCTGCTAGAATATGATCCAGCTTTTACCAGTTGCAACTAGTAACATGCGAGAAACAGCATTTCAGGCATTCCAAAAGGAAATACTAAACATGTTTTGCTGATGAAATTCCAAAAGGATGAAACGAATAATGATTTTGTTTGTGAACAATTAGCCACCCAAACAACAAAAAACTAAGCCTTTTTCCAAATAAATTTGAGGTCAGCTATTTTTTCAACAAGTCCTTTCAGATTATTACAAGATCCATGATTGTAATAGGTTGACGGCCAACATGAAACTTGGTAATTATGACATAAGTCCTAATACACAATTAGTTTATAAATAATTACTCCCCCCCCCCCCCCCCCCACAATTAATTTATAAATAATTACTTCCCCCCTCAAATTGCTTTGCAGAGAGGTTGAGAGAGGGTTAAAAACAACTGGGTACATAGTGCATATAAAGTACATTATGTATGACCAATAACAGAAATATATCAACATCCTATTTTACATGTTAACAAGCTTATTATAATGTTCAAACCAAGTTCTGTTAACATTCTAAATGCTATCAGTATCAGATCTACCTCAAAGTTTCCAACTGCGTACAAAATCAACAAAAGACTAAAGCAATACTACAGTTTTCAGCAGTTGGATTCAACTTAAGTCACTGATTTGAAACCCTACTCAAATCTTTCGATCTGGAAAGGTACACCTTCTAATGAATATCAAAGCCGATGAATATACAACAAATCACTTAGGACCACAACAGGAGTAAATTCCAAAATAATTGATGAGGAAAAGGTTTAAGGGTATGTATTACCATTCCAAATGTTTTCATCACTGTCTTTGGTGTCGTACATGATTACATCATCCCCCAATACATCGTTCAAGCTATTATCATATCTGTCAAATGGCAAGGACTTCCTGAACTTTGAGAGCCTCGGCTTTGAATTGCCAAATGTATAGTCGCCCGAGCAGGAGAATGGCTGGTCTATGGAATCATTGTACAGTGACGAAAAATCAATATCCTCCACCATGTCATCCTGTTGGTTGTCAATATGCTATATCAGTTACAGAGTCGGATCAATATAGCCCATAAAATGGGAAGTGACATCTAGATTATCATCATCTCAAATAATGGCACACTCCATAAAAAATGGACTACAATTCATAAGACATGATTATTCATGAATTATGATGCTGAGAATATTTGGATTTGCAACCAACAAGAGCCAATGCTTTTACGTATCTTGTTTGCATTCAATGCTTTACAGACAGACCACCAATCAATTTTCACCACATTTGTCCTTAGAGAAAAGGAAGTAGAAAATCGAATGTGGATATCAGTCAAAAACTGAAAAATGTTAAAATTTTAGACGTGATTCTTCATAAAGGAGAATTGAATTAATTGACAGAAATGTAGCTCTTTGCAGCCAGAAACTTCTTGAGTTGCATTGTGACAAGCATAGCTAAGGCATAAGAATACATCCCGAAGAGGCATCATATCCTCACTGGACATTCCAATTAATACATGCTACAAAAACTGAAGTAATTTCACAGTCTTGGGCTAAAGAAGAAAAGTAGATCTAGTAGCTTAATGAAAATTTCAAAACAAGTCAGATATTATTTTATACGAAGCGCTGAAAACTTTCTCACAGATGTTACTGCTGACCGCTTTTTGTACATTTCAAGGTCACTCTAGAGGGACACACAAGGAAGCTACTGAACAAAAATAGATTATAGTTGCAAGAAGAAATTTATGCAAATATATGATTGAAAATAGAAATACTCTCACCATTCGAGACTCAAAATCATCCAGACCATACTTGAAGGTTTTGGATGTCCTAGCTTGTCTCCTAGCTTCTTCAAGTGAAGAGAAACTATTTAAGACAGATCTGCAGTCAAGAATAAAAAAACATTGTAAATGTAATTAGAATAATCATAACAAGCCATTTATGGAAACTATGACTCAGCCATGGCTGCCTAGCAACCGAATTTTCAGGTCCACAGAAATGTGGCTTCCTGCAGATCATGACAAATGGCTTTGGCTTATATCTACAAATGCATCCATCATACATGTGACACTATTAATGCCAAGAAATGTAAAAGTTTCACTGAGTATGCATGGGAGATTAACATGAAGAGATCTAATTTGGTGCTGAAATTCAAAACTTCTGAATTCTATAGATATTTGTCTGTCTAGTATTGGACAAGCCAAGCTCAAGAATGACTGCAAGTATACAAAAGTTGAAAAACGTAACATCAGAACAAACCTTGCATGTTGCCCGCAAAAGCATTTTAGAGTCTATCGTCCGGTAAAATTAATCAGTCTAGTGGAACTGAATCAATTAAAATTACTTCTACAACACCATCTGAGGTGAAATTCAAAATATGTTTCATGAGTTCAGTGTCTAAAAAATCAACTCCGAACGTTCTAGAAAGAAGCCAGGAATAAGAGTGACAACTCAAGTGCCAAATGTTTTGATTACTCTGCAAATAGGCATGTAAGTTTCCATCTGACAATGCCTTTCTAGCCATTTGTAGTCCATAAAAATCGTTACAGGGTGACAAGTGTTGGATGTATGGAGCCTAATTACTTTGTTTATTTTATTATAGGGGTATATTTGAAAATTTTGCAAAACACTGTGTTGCCCATTTTATTATCTATATGAAGGGTATCTAGGGCAACCTTTTTTGCCTGTTTAAGAGTAGAGAGATAACAAAGAGATGCGGGATCAGAAACGACTACAATAATTCATCTTCTTTTATACATTGAAACTTTTCAACAGCATAAAGTGGACATAGCAGAGTTAACCACTCTAAAACATATGCTTTTGCTTGTATTTTCTGTTTCATGTTACTAATTGCTCTAGGTAGTACAGATTAATTATAATCCATTACAAAAAAGTCATTTAAATTGCAGTGCCGAGAAGAGTTGTATATAAATGTGTTATGTTCAAGACACTAAATACTAAAAATATGTAAAATAAAAAGATGATTTTTTTTTCAGATTTGCTTGTTTGAAATACCACGAAATTACAAGTTCAGAATCTAGACATTCGAGAATCAAAACAATTAATCACAATTCAAGTGCTCAATAGCAGAAGCCAGGAAATTATAAACAAAGCATTACATCGGACTTGTAGACCTAAGAATTTGTGAGATCAAATAATCAATTTTAAAAATGGTAAATGACATGAATTTGTGACTCAAATACAGTCTAGGATCCTGAATCTTGAAGTACGAAGAACTAGGGATTTGATTGTTTATTTGTACTACAAACATGTGATTTTACAAGGACATGCATCCACAACTACAAAACTAAAGATGTATCCATGGAAGAAGGTTACTGCAAGCGAAAAGCCTTTGCTTGACTATGATTTGTAATCTATGCACTATATGATCAGTTCCAGAATATGTTCTGAAAAGATATTACCTGCAAGGAGAGTTAATTGGAGTTTCCGTTTCCACTTTTCCCAACCCTGACATGCAGAAGTAGTTCCCATAAATTTTGCATGCTAACATTGTTGGAAGTCGCGGATAACTATTAACAACCATTATAGATTTGAACATGAATTAAGGTAATTTCTTCAAAATGCTGTGACATTAGCGACTGTTGAATTTATTTTTTATAATAAAGAATGGTGAAAGGAACAAGACGTGGAATTAGAATGACTTAATCAGCATGCAGAGAAGGGAGGGGAGTAGAAGACGCATGACTCAGGACCATATATTTGACACGAACAATTGAAGATTAAGAAAAGAAAGAAGTACAAAGAAGAGAAAGAATTGAGGGAAAAGAAGATATCAATTTAATCATATAATCAAGGATTAACTATTACATTGAATAAATCCCTCTATTTATAGAACAATAAACTAAAAAGAAGCTAAAAGCAAACGAAGTTCTAATAAACTATAAAACTTATCGCAATATTAAAACTAATTTAAATAAATATATTTTAAATCAATCTCTATTTTGAAATTCTATTCTATTTCTAACTCTATCTTTATCTTTATTTCTATCTCCATCATTTATCCCTGCTGAAAGAACTTGACTACGACGACGTAGACTAGAACTTCATTCTCCAAGAACGTCGATCTATTGTCTAGATCAAATGTTGCTATTGAACTCTTGACAACAACATATAGCTGGATTAAAACCAAGAGGGACGATCTTTCTTTTGAACCAAATACCGAAACTGATCAAGTGATCACGACTGAAATTGCAAACCATCCCCTAAGAACATGATTTGACCAAGGGGATGATCTCTCTTTTTAATCAAGTACCCATGCTGAACTCCAAATAGTAACAACTAATTCAACCCATCCACAAAATTTTCAATTGGTTGTGTATAATGAGCACAAGAATTAGCATTGTAGATTGGCTTGCACAAAAAAAATCATTGCTACATCGAATGTTTGAATTGACACCGTTAAAAAAACAATTCTTCTACATTGAAAATATAACTTTCATTCAAGAGCAATGACCAATTAAATTGATTATTTTTATATGAATGTTCCAAAAATATTTTCTTAATATGTTTAGGGAATTGGATCAAAGAGACGTGCAATAAAGCATAGTAATTATCATTATAGTCCCCTAGCTTATATTGCACATCAAAATTTCATGATTGAAAATAATTTATCCTTTTATCTTGACACAAGATTTAGGAACATTGATGATAAGAAGAGCTAAAGTAGACAACAATCGAATATTTCAAGATGGTTTGACTTGAAAAGGTTTAGGCCAAAGAAGAATAAATTGTTCCGATACCAAATTGACGCAGGAGCACATACTAGACACAAATAATTGAATATTAAGAAAAAAATGGTTGAAAAGAAGAGAAGAATTAAGGATAAAAGAAGATATCATTTTTTTCATATAATCAAGGGTTAATTATTACATTAAACAAACCCTTCTATTTATAGAACAAACGAACTTCTAATAAACTAATAACCTTATTGCAATATGAAAACTAATCTAACTAAATATATTTTAAATCAAAATCTACTTCAAAAGTCTATTCCAATTCTAACTCTATCTTTATCTTTCATTGTATCTTCATCGTCATGTCATTATTTCCTTCTTTTCGCATTTATTTCATTTTTCTTCTGGAAGAAATCTTTCTAAAGACGGATTCAATTGTCATTTTCCTTATTCTCCATCTATGTTAATTGTAGATGCATCATTAAGAAATTACTGGCCTGCCAACAAAGCCAAAATGTAAACTAAAAAAAGAAGAAAAACTTACACTGGCGGGGTTACAAATGATTTATTCTTAGGATTTTCTTAAGCAACATGACTACCTAACGGATCATACTACTACGGGGAAAGAAAAACAAACTGGATTACTTTCTAAATCAACAATATAAAAATCATAACGATAAAAAAATAAAAAATATATGTATATATGTAAAAATCATACCTTCAACTGAAAATGCAACATGAGATTCCGGTGCATGTACTGAAATTTCTTTCACAGTGCCATGTGCTCCATCATCACCAAGCAAATCAATAACAGATATCCCTGAATTGATAGAACAGGAAAGAAAGATAATTTGCAGGGAGTTATCTTCTGATACATAATGCAACTTTGTTTTTAAAGAAAGATACAAACGTGGTTGTAGTTGATAATAGAGACAACTAAACTCATTCATCAAGTTTCACTAGCATATCAATGAATTTGATTTGACAGCCGATGGAGGACATGAATGCGTCAGAACAGAAGGGAAAAAAATTCAATCATTGTAGATACCATGACATTGAGTTGTCAACTTCAACTTGTCACCATTTCCAGTTAAACCTTCTTTGTAATCAAGTGGGCTGACTGGGAGCCTGTGAGCATTGGTAACATGAATTGTCCTCAGAATGCAGCTTGTTAAGAGATAATAGCATGCAGCAGACAGAAACTATAGGTACAGAACAATGTGCTTGAAAGTGCAATGAATAAATTTTTTACACAGTCAATCTGAAAAAATGTGCGACAATTTGAACTTTTAAGCCCACATCCAAATTATTATTGGACTATCAGTGAAAATTTCCATGGCTATCCTTTCCAAGCAGAAATATGCTTACTTCTTTGGGCTAGTCTCCACATGGCCGCATAATGATGGTCCTGTAACAACACAATCATGCATATAATCTGGTTGGACCAACCAATTTTTAATATATGGACTAGTCAGAACAAAAACAACAGAAACTAGTTTCAGAAGCATACTTGCTTCATTAGTTTCAAAATGATCTCCAGCAATGGCTTTCTTGGTGTGAATTGCTGGGGAGTAATGTGCATTCTGATAATTCAAATTGAAAGTATCGTTCTCTGGACTATCCTTTCCTTGCATCGGCAGGAAAAGGAAAATATAATTAACAGATTAAAACACATTATACTTGACATTTGCGAACCTTTGAGCAAGTACATCATCATCATCATTAATCATATGTGGAATTGAGCAATCATAAACCAAGAGTACATTGCAAATAACCAACAACATAATCTTGTATTAAAAAATTTCAAATATTTCTAACTTGGTTTCGTTTTCAAAAAATAAACGTGTCTAAGCTAGTTATGTCATGTTGCAATTATAAATGAACTGGTAAAGATACTGACAACTTAAGAAACCACTCATCACTTCGTTTTCGACTTTTCTGGGAAAATATAGAGGATGAATTCTTATTCTTCTTGTTTCTTTACTACCTTCAATGCCTATCCTTTTCACGTTGAGAAGTTGTTCTTTACCACCTTCAATGCCTATCATTGTTATGTTTCTTGGATTATTTACAAGTCGTTTTCAATTGATGACAGGGCAAATAAACTAAATTGTACTAGAAAGCTAGAAGTCACAAGTAATTGTTTGTATAACTAGTTAAATTAGATTTCCAACTTTGACAACAGGATAGACACAACTATGCCCCTAGTTGATGGGATTAAAACTAGGGATTAAAATCAAATTTTTAGTGAATTTTGATAAAAATTGATGAAATATGCGGTTGAAAAGTTGTTTGTCCCATAAAGTATATGATTAAAATTAATTGTTGACTTTGACTTAAATTAAAATCTAGATTTTAATCACTACCAAACCAAACAGGGGCTATATCCTTAAATTTAAAATAATAATAATAATAATAATAATAATAATAATAATAATAATAATAATAATAATAATAATAATAATAATAATAATAATAATTTGTTCAACAATAGTGAGGACACAAATATATCCTATTTTCCTCATGTTTGATTGAGTTGATGAATAAATTTGGATGTGCACACCACTTGACTCTTATCCTCATAAAATAAAAATGATGGAAAATAGCAACGGGCTTTTTAGGAAGTTAAGAATTTGGGGCAAATTACCAATGAGGCAAGTGGTGGACTTCTGGTCCTGTGTAAGAGTTGATAAATTCAAAAAACTAAGAATATCGAGTGATCTTTCATTTCCATGGTGCTGACTACATGAATGCCTTCCATTAGCATCGTTCTCTAATCCAGCTGATAACTGCTGCTGTTGTCGTTTTCTTTGCTCAAAATATTGCTTTTGCCTATATTATTTCAACTCATGGTCAATATAGGCAACAGTCAATTCAGTCCATCTTACTCTCGCAGTTTTTATTAATCTTCCACCAAGAGATCTATTAGAGGTTTATTTAGTTACCATATATAGAAAAATCACGTACAATCAAGGGCACAAATCCATGTTTGTAACTAGGCCCCTGATTGTATATGATTTTTCTATATATGGCAACTAAATAAATCTCAAATAATAAACCTCTAATAAGATCAATGTGGAGAATGTTGGTTTAATGATCAATGGATAGAGTTAGAATATGTTTTTGTACCTTTTCTGAGTAGACCTTCTTGACTGCAGTTTTCACCTCCGTATGATTAAATGGCATGACATGAAGACACATAAAAGATAAAATACTGTTATGTTGGAAAGAAAAGCTAAATAGGAACCATAATGTTCAATCTACTAAGAAAGTACAACATGAACTTTCACTGCTGTCACTGACAAAAGAACATACTCACAGAAAAGAAAAAAGAAAAAAAAGGAGAAAAAAGAAAAAGGAAAAAAGATGAGCCTGTTGATGCAGCCAATAAAAGGATCAAGGAAGCAAATATAAATGGAGAGTTTTCAAAAAAACACAGCTCCTCAGCAGGACACTTCCGTCCGGGCAATGTATTAACCAAAAGACTCTTAGATCCATAATAGGCCTTGATACAGTTTAGGTCTACTTAAAACATGCCCCAAGATTTACCACCTAATTCATCATTCCCTTAATTTATCCTGACTTGTTGGAGTATATTCTGATTTCTTATCTCATCCATTTTGAGATTTAAGAACCCAACATTCAGAACCATTAGTTTTGCAGGTAATGATTATTAATTTGACAATCATGGACTTTCAAACTTCAACACTTACAAAACTTGAGCTTTGTAGAGAGAAAGATGCAGATAATAAAAGGACTGAATAAAAGCAAAATAAAGGAGTATCTTCAGGCTTCAAGGTAAAAATAAGGTCCTTGAAGATATCCTGTAGCGAAAATCAGACATCAATTGAGTCTTTTGTAGTTAGCCTTTAGAAACAGTCTCTTAGCATGTCCGGTGGTATTTTAGTGAATTCTATAAAAAAAATTAATTGCTGTAATTCCTGGAATGAGCCTCAGGCTAGATCAAGTTATGTTTTGGCATTTCAAGATGATTTAGAAATGGTTTGTTATGTGTTTTTCCCAAAAAATAAAAAATAGCCTCATTGGAAAGAGAAAAGCAAGTTGTCTATAAAGTTGTGTAGTGCTTGACAAAATATAAGACTTTAATTTTTGAATTGCATGATAAAATTCCAGCCCAATGTTTGATGCCTATGGGAGATCTTGGGAGTGATTCCTAGATTTATTCTACTTGTTGTTCCTTTTCCTCTTTATTTTTCCGCAATTCAAGACTGTGCCCGGACCATTAAACCAGCTTCTTTGATGGTTAAAGCCCAAACAACCAAGTCCAGCTAATTTTTTTGTAACGTGCTTGTCCTAACAACCGAAAATCCCATGTACAACCATTCATTGATACAGATAATATTCATCAAATTTTTCTTTCTCTTGATTTATTTATTCTTTACCTAACCAATATTTCTTAAGAATTGAAGATCGTTGGTGTTAAAGATATAGTTTTTGTTCCTTCCCTATTTACTTAAGATTATAGACGAACTAATTCAATATGGTATGAGAACAGATACAAAGTTTAGCCGCCACCCATATATGAAAATTGTTCATGTGTCAGGCCTAATTTAAAAAATTAATCCAGTCTGCATATAGGACATGTTGAAAACATAATTTAAATAAATAGGTGTCCCCCCTCTCTAATAAGTAAAGGTTTTAGAAGAGGGAGTTCAATAGTTAGGTAATGTATCCAACATCAACAATAGTATATCACAGCCCATCAGGTTCTACAATGTTGGATCCTTGACTAAAAGGCCATGCTCAAAATGAAAAGGCCTAAGCTTAATATCCACTTGAAGATTTTAAATCCATCAAAGAGATTATATAGATAGGCTTACATAACCAGGAGTTTGGGGTGAGAAATTAGCAGTGAGCACACTAGAGTATCTTGCTCCTTGACAAGCTGAATTTTGAAATAAATTTTAACACCGCCTTGACGTTTCTATACTCTTCTTGATTTAAGTTCTACTTTAAAAATCTTCAACAAAAACAGTTACTCAAGCATTCTAAATTTCTACAGAAATTGATTGCATGACATGATTAACAAACATGTAGTGCAGTTAGTGAATTCATGAGTTCATTAGAAAATACAGAAACGTTGCACGTCTGGCCCACAATTAACAGACGCAATATTACATGATTGGGGAAAGCCCAAACAAAGCATCACAGAGACAACCTCCAGCCAGAATATTAAGACCCACCAATACAAACTCAGGTTTAGTCATCTCTGCAGGCCAAGCTGATTTGGTCAATAATTATAGAATCTTTTATCAAACGATCAATTTCTACTTGACAAATTTGGTTAACTAAACGATGAGTAAAACTCTATGATTTCTGCTTGTTAATAAAGGAAGTACATAACAGAGCATTCCCAAATGCAGGCATCTATTTGCTAAAATATACATAGGCATCAGTGTTGATTGGGTTTTTTTCCAAACTGGTAGGTGCTCACTATTCACAAAATTGTGAGAAGCAAAAAATTGAAAAGAACTCAATTGCAAATCAAACTTACAGCTATCACTTTCCGCCTTGATCCACCCATCCATTGTAACATTGTATGAGATATGATGTCTTGCTCAGTCTCAACTAGGCCACAACAAAGTTAAAGAGAAAGACAAAAGAAAATCATAAGCAGAAGATAAATTATGAAAGGCAGACAACTTCAGAAAAGGGCGAAACCTCTGTGTTTAATTGTAAAGTGAAACATAGAAGACATGTCCATTCCAACAAAATTGAGAGAAATACTAAAACATTTTATTTCTGTTTTCATGATAGCCAACAAATTTTTAAATTTGTATTTTATCTGATAGGATAGAAAAATTAAATTACAGATCCGAAAATGGCAAAAACATTTTTCCAGCGCTCCACTAAACACAAGCATTGTAGAGAACTTCTACATTTACATTGAAATATTAAATTCCATTGCCCATTAATTTGCATTTCCCTGAAATTGCTAGAGCGAGCGGCCAGGGGCAGAGGGGAAAGCCATAAACAACCACATTAAAATTCAAGAGAGATATTGTGGAGAAAACTGCTGTTTCATAAAGAAGATTACCATCAATAAACATCAATTTTGGGGAAAAAATATATACACACACTAGAAAGCTAGGAGATAGAATGGCGATAATCTTAGATCCAGGTTGTGTCGAAATTAAATGATTCACAACAATCAAATCGAGCTCGAAGTCAACCATTTTTGCACAAATAAATCTGATACTACCTTCCGAGTTTGGTGATGAAGAATCCTAGTAAAAATCACAGCAACACGAGATAAATTGGCGCCAACGGAAATCCTTGTGCACTTATGAATTACAAGATCGGCTTTTAATTGGGCTTTATAAACGAAACACGAGGAATGGGCTTCTTCCGAGTTTAGTGAATAGGCTCACTGAAACACTGCAAGAGAGAGTTCGTCTGCGTTTTTTTAGTTCGTCTGCCTAATTAGTAAGCCCCATATCTTTTTTTAGGTCCGTTTGACACCCATTTTTTTGAAAATGCATTTTTTTTCTCTTCTTTTCAACTAAACATTCTTCATTAAAGTAATATTACATGTAAATAAAAAAAAATTCCTTATTTTTCAACCACACATTTTTCATTAATTTACTATTCAAAAATACATTTTTATATAAAAATGGTTCACTAACACCCTTTTAAAGTAAAAATTACTGACATACCTACATTTCAATTTTCAAAACATTTTTTTTTCAATTTAGAAACATTTGTAACAACCATCCAACTAACAAACATACCTACCCAAATTCCAAACCTTAAGAACCTTACCCAACTCACCACACCCCTACAAACCCTAATCTACCTCCCAATCGTCGACGCCCCATTCAGACACCGACATCTCGATCTACCTTACCCATGACATCACCTAAACAGCCACCCGCCACCACCACATTCCAAATTCGTCACTATCATTTTAACCAAACCATATCTTGCCAATCCCATAACCCATCAAGCACTACCACTAGTTTGCAAAATGGGGGTTGTTAGTCGTGGTGTGGTGGTGGCCGACGTTCGATTGGTGTTGGTGGTGGAGTGGGTTTGGTAGGGTTGGAAGGAATGGGATGAAGAGTGATTGTGACTAATTATTTTGAGTAATTGTGATTAATAAAATGGTTAATTTGTGACTAATAAATAATATATTACCTAAAAAAGATGAGATTGCGATGGGAAAATAAAATAGTTAATTTGATAATTTATGACCAATAAATAAATTTTGACCTATAACATTTATGTTTGTGATAGAGAAATAACGTATGACCAATTAATTTGATAATTTGATATCGATAAATAAAATTGTGACCTATAAAATTTGTAGTTTGTGACTGTATCTTTTTGTGATTGCATTTAGTGTGTATAGATATATTTGTGATCATAAACTATATAATATTGTAACATTAATATATTTAATTACTTACTAAAATAATAAGATTTTTGATTATCTATTTAATTAATAAAATTTAAATTATGACCTAATTTTTGAAACTTCAAAACAAGTTTCTTAATTTTGAAATTGTGTCTTGCAACTTTCTTAGATATGTAATGTTTAGTTCTGAAAAGTATAAATAGATCTCACTTAAAAGAAAAAAAAAAAAAAAAATGCAAATAAAATATAGAAAAAATGAAAATATTTTCGTCATGCCCAACAAACTGTCAAACCCTAGCATTGCCACCACTCTTACGGCCAACCACCCTAACACCACCATTCTTCCAAAACCAACCTCTCAAATATCTAAAATTGTAAGGTACAACTGGAAATACTCACAATTGCTTCAAAACACGGTTGATTTTTAGAAGAGGTATAAGCAAAAATCGTTGAACCAAAATTGCCAGTTTAGTACCAAGTGGACCTGTACACATTTTTGTTAACTAAACTAAATGACATGGTTTAGGTTTTGGAATTTTAACAATGGTTTGAAATCAAATCAGATCATTTAAATTATTTTTTTTTTTTTAAGAATACAATATTAACATCTAAAATAAAATATAATTAACATTTTAATACAAAACGGATAATTTGATTAATTGTCCATTACCAAATATGGTCAATTACCCTCATTTCATAACTCCATTACATATTCATCCAACACCAAATTGAAACTCTCTTGAGGTATTGAGTATTGGCACCGCAAACATTGTGGTCGTTGGTATTATTTTAATCTATTTAACTTCTCTTTGCAATTCTGAGGAACGCGAAAATCTTGTTGAATCGACTTTATTTTTTGTTGACATGTACATTAGAGTTGTACACTCTAGTGTACGAACCCCTCTAAGGGGGGCCCACGAACTCATGTGAAGGGGCTATATACGTACACTCTAGTGTACAAGTAGAATTTTCTTTTTTTGTTTAGTGATGTTGTATGTGACATTATTAGCTTTTCTTTTGTATGGACTCAGCCTAAGGCCTTGTTTGTGATTGATTTTATAGGCTAACTTCTTAATATCAAATAATCAGAACTTGTCATGTGTTTGATAAATTCCAAAGAGAATTGATTATATTAACAACAGATCTTGAGAAGCAATGAATTGATAGTTTTCCGTATTCAGCTTTTAGCCTTTTCATTTATCCATTGTTAAATGCTAATTTTCACCCTAATTAAATAAAGTAATTTTTTTTTCTCTTAGATTTATTAGTATTCCAATAATAAATATCTTCCATTCCATATAATTCACATAAAAGATTATTTATATTTATTTGATATTTTTCATGAACATTGTGAAATTGAGAGACCGGAATGCAAAAGTTCGATGCATAAAAGATCATTAAATTTATTTGAATATTTTTCTAATATATCATGCTTTTAGTTTGTAATTTATAAATTTTGACGATAACATAAAATCTTTATAATCTTCAACCTACTTATGAACGAACATGTCAAATTTACTTTTTCATTACAGTTTTAACACATGCACAATTTTCATAAATAGAAGATGACATACTAGAACTCATGATCTTCAGTTATTACAATACCATACTGAAGTTTCTTGTTTAAAAGTTTACGTTAACGAATATGGAATACGCATATTCATTTAAAATTAGCAAGGAACTTCATATTTATTCTGAATTTTAAAACCATGATTCTCCTGCTTATGTAATACGCATCAGAAGAACATGCAAATTTTAAGGCTAATGAGTTGACAGGGAATATATATTGAGAACAAAGTAAAGTTCCGGTAAAAGAAACACAGCCAGCTGCAGATTTTTGACATACACACTAAACTTCTCTTGCAAGGCTTGACATGCGACCAAGAGTCAATCGGTAGATAGATTAATACTCGATCAAAGGACAAGTGAAAACCATGGAATATATTCGACCAAATCTCTGTTTGGCGTGATATTTATGCACCTAGATAAACAAAAGGATGGAGGATTGTCGAAACAAAACAGATAATGTAGAAATAAACGAGTTTATTAAGACGCGACTCAGACAAGGCAAGATGTGTTGAAGCCTAAGAAATTTCTACGTTACTAAAACTAGGATGCTATTATGGGTGGTCGCTTGAGACTGGTAACAACCTGACGAAGCCAATGATAATCATTCCGGTAATGTTCAAGTGATGAGCAAAGCTGCCTTATCGCTTCTCGTTTCTCTTCCGCTCCTTCCCTAATAACTTCTTCTTTTCTCTCAACCTCCGTTTCCAATTCTTTAACTCTCCTTCGCAACTTCTCTGCCAGTTTATGTGCCCCTTCAGCTGCAACAATCAATTCAACGTGCTCCATATGCAACTGATGCAAATGATTCTTCATTTGTTCGATTTGATCGTCTTTCGAACACCTCTCTGCAGAAAGTGTACTGATCTTAGCATCAAGACTGTCTTTCTCGGACCTTAGCATGTTGTGATTCAGTTTTAAGGCTTCAAGAATTTTATTTAATTCTTCCAAGTGGTCTTTTTTCTTGGAAATTTCAGCCTGCAACTGCTCAATTTGAGCTCGTAGCACAACTTCCATCTCTACTTTTCCAGCTTCAGCTCGACTGACATTTTCCTCTAAGGATTGGCAGCGTAAATCCAACTCTTTTAGGCTATTCTCCAAATAAGTTCGTTCCTTCGACATTGTAGTTAAATCTGATTGAAGTTGCTTATTTTCTTCAGACAAGCTCTTACTGGCATTCGATATTGCTTCTTTCAGTCCCTGGATTTCTTGATCTCTGTCAGCAAGATTGGATTTGTAACTCTCTATTAAATCCTGAAGCTTTGAAACCTCGCTTTTCTCATTCTCGAGTTTAATCATCCAGATGGAAATCTCCTTCTGTGATGATATAAGCTGATCTTGCAAAAGTTGAATGGACAACTTGTTGCCCCCAAGTTTATCCCTTAAGTTAGCAACTTCCTTCTCTGACTCATGGAGCTTCTCTTGCGTGATTTTCAGTTCCTCCTCTAGTGTCTGAATTTCGTTCATTGGGTCGAAAACGTCAGCTTTTGATGCATCGATGCTTTCTTGAAGCTCTCTAACCTGATTTTGCTCAACTTCAGGAACTTTAAGAGATTTACACTTTTGAAGCTCAATCAACAAAAGACTATTTTTTTCTTCAAATTGCCGAATATTTTCCTTTGCAATCCTCAAATCTTCTTCATATTCCGCTACTTTAGCAAGAGCTTCAGAATTTTTGCTGTCAGATTTCTTAAATGAGCCTTCAGAAATCTCTTTCTGTTGCATCTCGAGTCTTTCTTTCACATCCGAAGGCTCAGTCTCTAATTCATTAATCCTCCCACGCAAATCATGTTCCTCATCATTGCTCTGTGTGGCCGAGTAATTGTTAATGGAGGAACCATCCGACTCGGATTCAGAGTCAGACGTAGATGAATCATCTCCTTTATTTAAATCTGAGCCAGTTCCAAGAAAGAATACAAATCCAGCCGGGCGAGCAACAGATATAGGATGACTCGGGTCTCGATCAGGAGATGGCAAAGAAGAAGGTGGTTCAGATTCCACATCAGATATTCCAGAGCCCTGAGATTGGAGATCAGATGGAATACTTTTTCGAAGTTCTCCAGTCACAATATCATAACGCTCAGCCAATGCCCGATACATTCGATAAAAGTCTTCAACAAGACTTGTCAACTCTGGTCTCTTCTGATAATACATTTCAGCCCTTTTTGCAAATGAATCTGCATCCTCTTCTATGAGTTTTAACATCAGTTTGACTTTCTGGTCCATTTCTGGGATAAAAAACCATGTCATCAATTTTTCAGCTCGACATCCATTATTCAAATTACAATATGCTAGAATTATAGCAATAACTACACAGAATATAAACTAAATAATAATAAGATGAAAACTAACGTTTTATCTTTACAATTTAGTGTTAATACAATACAGCGATATAAATCAATGCAAACCAATTTACATCATCGAAAATTGTCTTTTTGATCAATCGTGTCAGATGCATTATCTTTCTTTTCCTGATGCTTGCAAAAACAAAGACGAACATATTTCAGTCAATTTCCATTAGGAATTAAGAAAGGAAAATTGAAAAGTTATGTTTCTGGTTTTAAAAATCTGTTTACCATAATTTTCATGGTTTCCACTTCAATTAAAAATATACCTTCAAGATTATCTTGTAGCCACTTCGAGTTTTTGGGACTAATGTGGCTATCCCACCACCACGAGTGCGACTTTTTTGATTCCATCCTCTTCATCTTAGATTCCATCCTCTTCATCTTATTTGACTTAACCTGAGATAAAAGAACCAAGATAATGTTGGAAAAAGCAAAAGATCACAACAAAAGAATCCTTTTCCACCATCCATTTGTTATATTGCTAGATCTAAAGGATGATCTAGAGAAACCAATTCTTAGCAACTACCACAGCCACTAGCCATGATTTCACTCTGAATAACTAAGCCTACAACGAACTAAACCCCTGCCAGGATAATTATACAGCGTGCGGTTTCTTACCAGCGGTGATGCCATTATATGGGAGTTGGAAGCAAACCTGACTTTTAACACCTTGCTCGAAAGCAAGTTAAGTCAAATACCTGCAAATTATATCTATATACATGAGAATATAGACGTACATATCTAATATGTAAGTCATACAAAAATACATGAACTGATTTGGATTTCATCAATAGCTTACAATTATTCAACCTAAATATTTACTGATTAAATATTCATAATCATGGTAAAACGTATTTCGTGAAACTACAATATACAAACCATCAGTCAAGAAAGCAAACACCATTGCTAGAGATAACAAGATTTTCATTTCTAACCATAATATATAACAAACATAAAATAGAAGAAAATAGCTTCACTTAGCCAAATGATTAGAAATTAGGTAGACAGTCTTGAATAAATGCAAATCATGACAAAAGGACAAGAGCATGATCCATGGCTGCATATGTTCCAGCCTATTAATTGGAGGTAATAAAATAGTGAGTTGACTAATTAGATTATTAGGATGGAGCCACAATATTAGGGCTAGGATTAGCTCGGACTCGCAAACAATGAGAAGACGTAAATGTTGAACAACCTCATTTAAGAATAAAGTAGACAAGTATACTCATTAACTCGCATATTCACCTATTCATGAAAACTATACACATATTTAAGGCTTGAATAATCCTATCTAGCACCAGTCTAGATGGCTACACTTTATAAGTTCAATTAAATGAATGATGTGATTATGCATTTAAATGAATATATTATTTAATGCCATATAATTGCCACATAGACTTGTGTTTAATATCAATAAAATAGCATTACTCTAAAGGCTTTTGATGAAAACATAACATTTTATCTAAAGGCTTTTGATGAAAACATAATTTCGACTCGCTCATTAGAACTCGTGTTGAAACTAAAATTTAAATGAATAAATGGGTTTCATCTCTAATGACTTGAGGTGTAGTTCAATTCGACAATTGGATCGCCAGCATGTCTTGAGCCTTGTTTGTATCATTTCAAGAAAGGGGACCATTTTTTCATCTTAGATTAAACTATTGGAAGCAAATTGAAGTACTTCATACGTTACCATATGACTTGTGAGCTGCATTTTTTGTTGAAAACCCTTAACTTCAAGGCATTTCTTGAAATTATTAAAATAAAGATGACATTATTTTTAGAAATTCATTCACGATTTTCCAAATAATACATTCAAGAAGAAATGCAAGCATAGAATTTCAAGAAGAAAAACTTCTGGGCTCTAGTAAAAGTACAGAATTTCCAGAAATAAACAAAAAATGATGCAAAAAATAAAAATAATAAACCAAGAAAACATGAAGTTTAATCAGAAACTTCATGACCACACATATAAACCTCACATTTTAAATAATGCAAGTAAAAATTAACAATACCTGAAAAAACATATATATTTCCACAAGCATCATCATTTGAATTCACAGAAATAAACCAAAAATAAAAATAAAAATCCAAGAAAACATGAAATTTAATCAGAAACTTCGTGACCACATATATAAACCTCACATTTTAAATAATGCAAGTAAAAATTAACAATACCTGAAAATATATATATGAAGAAAATCTCTCACCCTTTTTTTTTTTTTTTTTGGGAAAATTCAAGAGGCCCAAGAAAAGTCCTGAAACTCTTGCACGAGAGACAAAAAGGTTGAGAGATTCTTGCTTAGTTGAGGACTTTGTATTGTCAGCCCTACAGAGTGGAGGGACAAATATAATACAATATCTGAAATTTGTTCACGTGGAAATGGTGTGATTTTTTCAAGTCAAAGTTTTAATAATCTGTATTTTATTATTTTGTGTTAGAAAAAATGGTGGAGAAATAAGAAACAAAGGTCATACGGCTGTATTTTTCGTTCTCATTCTTCAAAAAATGAGACACAAACGGGGGCTAAATTATTCTGACAGGTTAAATTTGGTGGCTTAATATGATGAATAACACTTATATTTTTCATTTCAATGAAAAAAAAATGGGAACTAAAAAGGAGCTTGAAGAGCTAAACCCAACTTTCTTGAAGCGAGTGGCTTGTGTGGGCGAGTTTAACGGTTCGACTTAGTTCATTTCATACCCCTAAGTTGAATTGTACAACTCACAAATTTTAGTGTATTTTTCTTGATTAAGTATTATATACTTTGATGTACAAAATATGCATCGTGTATGTAATCTTGCATTTACCCTTGAAATGTAATAAGTTGCCGATCAAAATAAATACATTGTATTCTTGCATTCCATCACATATTTAGCCCTTCTTTGTCACCCATTATTTATCATTTTAATATATTATTTTTTCTACAGAACTCATTTTCAACCACATATCCCTCATTAAAATAAAATTACATGCAAACAAAAATTTTTTAATTCTTTTTTAACTACACATTCTCCATTAATCTACTATAAAATTTTTCAAAATTAAAGGGACCCAAACACACCCTTAACCTATTTGACCAGAAATATTCATCTCATATTTTCCATTTCTACCATATTTTTGTTTCTTTCTCTTGTGTGCTCACCAATCATGATTGAAGTTAGGATTTTTGACTTAAATTGAGACTAGAATAGCAGTCGAGAGCAATTAATGAGAGTGATGATAGGTGTACGGGGTAAGGGTTAAGAACTCTTACCAACACCTTCCATGGGCGTGGGGGAGGGGGGTGGGTTAATTTTTCAACATTATTTATTCATATCAGACACGTATCTTTGTGTGAGTTTGTATACATTATGTGAAAAAAAAATTATGTACACCAATTATTTCACTAATTAATGATTCCTTTCTCCACTCATTAAACATATGCATATAAGATTTGAAGTATTTCTCGAAACTATCATCAAATATAAAAATATTCCTTTCAATTGTTAATTAAATCGAATTTCTGAAAGCTCTTCTAAAATATCATTTTATAATAAAGTTTTAACAATTTGCTTTGATTTGACTACGAAAATAGAAAAATATAAGAACATCCTTTGGGCACCAAAGACAAAATTCCCAACCACTTTTCACAAACGTGAGAAATGTTGATAATTATATTATTTTTTCTACCCTAATGGGCCACGGCCCATTAAAGTCTGATATTGATTGCCCTACATTCCCCCGCTTGTAAATTTACAGAATTACCCCTGGAGGACATTTTCATACGGATTTCCATGTGATTCTGCAAAAGAGCAAAAGAGATCTCCAACTTTTGCAACATAATCTTTATAATTAATCCTAAAAGTATGAGCGCCAATTTTGAGGGTCCCTACCACTCCTTCTTTGGAGAATCGTGAAAGAGATAAATTGCGGGATGTGCTCCAATAATCCAGATAATAAGAGCTTACCCGTACACTGATACTCACAAAAAGTCCAATTCCACATCTCATGAATCGAATCTTTATACTGCGGCTGCTAGCAAAGTTGAGACTACCTCACCCTTGTCCTTTGCACCACTGAATTATGCTCCGAGGGGCATCTTTATAATTAATACTGTTTGTATAGAAGATGAATCACCATGGTAAAGGATATAAATACTTAGGTCAGCAAGAATTGTAAGGTTGAAAAATGAGTTTCGGGGATGTCCGTGCATGTTATAGCATGAATATATAAATATAGGTCGAAAAATGAGCCAGGACAAACAATGAGCTTGGAATTGTCCATGTGGGTCGATTAAATACAGATTTAATCCTAAAAATTACCCATAATCGTTTTTAGAAGGGAGGAAGAGACGAAAACTAAAAAATCACCACAAGTATCAAGCACCAGTTTAAGTGGCAACTGTCAAAAATTAAAAGATATATTTACTTAAATACTATGTCATATGATTCATTTAATTGAACCTATCAAATATGACTATTTAGACCGATGTAGATAGCATTATTTTTTATAAAAATGCATCAATTTTAGAAGGGCTTGAAAACTACCATTTTATTTATTAAAAAAAAAAAAACCACTTGCAATGTTGACTCTTCGAATTTGAAAAATCAAAATATTTTTGTTGTGATTGGAAATCTGTTTGTAGAAGTACATCAAATTGCTCAAATAAATTGGAAAAAGAGGTGAGGTCACGAATTTTTAACTTGCGAACTAAGAAATTATTGAGTCCAATGTGGTTTACTATGAGCAGGTTCTCATTTGATTACACTTCTTGTTCGTATGATGATCATTCTATTTTATATTATATTTTCGTTAGTCACTTCACCTGTGTTTGTCATTCAATGTCCAAATTAGAAAATGTTGAGTTTACTATGACTAACTAGACCTTTCATGTTAACTTGATCTAAAAGTTTAAACTTTTAGACGGACACCTTATGCATGCATGATTTCATTAAATGGGTGGCAAGAATATACTTGAAGATTTGCCTGATTTGATAAAATGTTAAAATCAATCTAAAAGCTTAAGCTTTAGATAGAGTGACATGTATATCAATTTAAATATCGTCTTCAACTTACTCTTGTAATTTTTGTGATGAAATTTTGTATTTTACGTGCCATAAGAGCGCCTGGTTGAGCTCCATTTTTTTTTTAGAATAGATTTTGTAAGGAATGATTTTTAGAGAATGTATCATTAAAAGTAAGGAATAATTTCGAATTTATATGAAAAATTATTTTATTGAGACAACGTGTAATTGAAAATAAATTTTGAAAAATGAGACTCCATACTACATACAAATTGGTCACATTGATTTCATCTAATAATGGTTCCTTACAAATTATCATCACTTCTCTCAAGCCATGAAACAATAAAGATTAAAGACAGCTTGTATTATTACATTTCTTTCATCACATAGTTCTTGTTATTGTCTAGTTTCTATGTATTCCTAGAATATCCTACTCCATATTGTTAAGATTAGTTCCTAGTTTTTGTACAAGGTATTGTTCTTGCACTCTGCAGCATCTCATTGCTTCTCACATAGTATATATTGACCATATGCAGCTTGCTCGCTTTATCGACGTGAAGCTATGGAGAAACATAGATGGAGTTTTGTCTTCGGCTATGGCTTCCTCTTGCAAATTCTGAGTTTATGCATTCTTCTTTCGTGTGCCAAAGCAGAGAGTAATTTCCTTCTCCCATTTTTGTTCTTCAACATTCAATGAGCAAGTATCTTAAAATAATGATAGATCTATCTATAGCTCTTATGATTCGATTTCAAGAGTACTAGGTTTTTCGCATTTCTTTTTGGTTTTTGAAATTGCGACTCTTGAGATTCTATCTTAAAGTATTAGTTTTATTAAGAGGAGTAGTTCAAATCATTAACATACTACCACAAGATGGTGACTCGATTTTCAGAACATCAATCTTAAAATTTGATGAACTAAATTGCTTCTTTCAACTTCTTGGCCTATGATCACATTTGAGTATTAGGGTTCTATCATAAAGTCAATTTCATTTAGTCCTTGTTTGGTTCTCATTTTTTTCAACCTCATTTTCAATCTCGTATTCTTTCAATAAAATATTTTATACGATGACGAAAAGTATTTGCCCATAATGCCTTAATGCTGCTTTTAGTTAACTGACTCGAAATATTTGCTTCATGCAGATACAACATGGCCAATGGCGAACGTGAATTTAAGCCCAATCCAGGCTTGGAGAAGTGCATACTACTGCCTCCAAAATGTAACTTATTTTCTTCTCTATTATATTATATGTAAGAATAAATTATATAATTATAACAATAAAATGCGATATTTTGTGATGAATTTTAATTTTCTGTCTCTGAATATATGAGACGGATTCAAGAGCACTAGCCAAGGAAAATCCACCTTTAAGGCCTCGTTTGGCAAAATTTTTGAAGAGTCAAAAATTGTTTCCGAATTGACTAAAAAGTTGGTTTTGAACATCTTTAGATAATTTTGTGGAAATGGTTAGTCCAATTAAAAGATTTTTTTAGAGAAAACTGGTTCAAGATAGCTTCCTTAGAAAACTCTTCTATAAGAAGTAAAAACCTTGTGATCTTAAGCCAATATTTTTCGTGGGCGTCTATTTTAAACAATTACGGATTCTAAAGCATTAACACGCCTTTTATAACACGAAGGCATAGTGGCCAAAATCCGATAGAAAAACTATATTGATTATATGGAAACGAATTTCCCTAATTTTCTTTACTTTTCCTTTTGATTATAGACTTCGAATTATTGCACGAAATATACACTGAATACGTCGGGTTGGCTGAACGTAACCCACGAAGATGGCGCTTCATTCTGCAAGGAAGGGTGCGCTGATCACATTAGTGCAGTTCTTAAATGCATTAACTATGTGAAAAATGACTTTTGGTTTGGAAACAAAGCCACAATCCAAAATCTCAGTGATACCATCAACATTGGCTGCAATACACCTCAAGGTATGACATATATTTTTGACAACTTGGTACATTTTATAGAAAAATCGAGGAGATCCCATTTAGTCGTATTAGCTATATATCAACTTGTGTTGCGTTTAGTGGTGTAAAATTGAGTTGGACTCGGATGAGTTGCGGTTAACCCTTTAAATAAAAAAATTTGAGCACAATCCACAAAGTAAAATTTGTGTCTTTCATTTCGTTTCTTGAAAGGTCAAAAAAGTTGAAAAGTAACATATTGTGTCACTTTTTAGCTCAAATCAACATTTCATGTCGTACTTATATTGTTTAATATTATGTGTCGTCTTACTCGACTAATATATATGGATGCAGGTTTTAATGGAATTAGCTTATATCAATCCAGTGGGACTGGAATAAATTCAGCTCCAT